CTGGTGCTGGTGCTGGTGCTGGTGGTGTTGGTGTTGGTGTTGGTGTTGGTATTGGTGTTGGTGTTGGTGTTGGTGTTGGTGTTGGTGTTGGTGTTGGTGTTGGTGTTGGTGTTGGTGTTGTTGGTGGTGGTGGTGGTTTTGGTGTTGTTGTTGCTGTTCAGAGTTGAAGGAACGGAGGGGATGGATCAATGTAGGTTCTTCCTGGCCCATGAGTCGCCGAAATGCCATTTCAAACACCTCTCATCTTGGGTCCTCAATATTTTCTATAAGGACAGGAACCCCCAAAAAGGTAAGCTTACCATGCTCAACCAAGGAAGGCCATGAAGCCGCCGGGTCGGCGTTTCTGTAATTTCGTTTTGCCGCAGGCTTTCCAAGCGCTGTTCCCGAAACCGTAAACCGTACCCGAAGCCCTAAACCTTCACCCCAAACCTTCACCCCAGACCGTGCAAGTAAGAACATCCCCTGAAGGGCCCTGGCCCTACGTAGGGTTTAGGGTTTAAGTTTAGGGCTTTATGAGGCTTCAGGGTTTAGACTGGCACCGGTAAAGGGCCTTACACTTTATGGTAAAACCAAGCTGGGCAGTCATACCAAACAAGGAGGAAGCCACAGCTGTCGCGTTGTGTTGATTTCTGAGAACGCTACCAGGGTTTAGGGTTCAGGGTTTAGAGTCTAGGGCTTAGGGATATAGATCGATTTTCTTAAGTTAACATTAGTGCCTCATTAATGCGACTAAGATCAGTACGCCCTTGGTATGCCTGCAGAGCGATAACCTCCGTTTCGATTCTCTTGAGCACTTTCAAACAGAACAACTCATCAACTTGAGCAGTTACAATCTGATGATCCTCAATATCATAGACCCCAAAAGCCTCGCAGGAACGAGGTAGAGTCCCTTGCCCGGCATTTTCTCCCAAGCGCTAGAATCACGAGGTCCAGGTCCGATCCACGAGCGCTAATGGCTGCAGCAGCAGCGTGCCGCTCTTGGCTGGTTCGGCTTTCGGGCCAGGTATGAGGAGCCGCTTCAGAACGGCCATCGAACCCTAAGCCTGGACCCCAAAACATAGATTAAACTGAATCTTTTCGTGCTAGGCCGGATCTTCCTATGTACGTAGCTGTGAGGTCCGGAGGAAAGAAGCCCAGACGTCTGCGGTTCCCAAGAGATTAGTTTAAAGAGGGGGCTTGGGGTATGGGGAGGTTTGCGGTTTTGTGTTCAAGTTTAGGGTTTCGGATTCAGGGCTTTAGGTTGCAGGGTCTGTCTGGGATTCCGTGGGGTTGGACTATCAACTCTGGGGAGCAGGAATGAGTGGAGTGAGGCATTTCTACTGAGTTCAGGGCGAGCTTATTCTAGATTCCTCGCTCTTGGTATTCAGATAAGGCACAAAGACAAATTATTTGGATGAGGATGATGTTGAGCATGATGACGACAGCTGTAGAACCAGTGAGAAAGAGCAAGCGGTTGTAGTTGTAGTCAGAGTACTACGGATATGGATAAGACCCCGCGGCACCGTGATGAGTGACAAGCCCACAACACGGACGCAGAGCGATTGTACAAGCTAACAGCTGGCATTTGACGAGTGGCTGGAGCGTCAGGGTTCGGCAGAGGCTCCCCACGGTGCAGCAACACCACCCGAAATTTGTGGTTGTAGGGGTTTAGGGCAACCGCTCAATACCAAGCTCCAGAGGCTTCAAGGATGCTTAAGAACCCCGAAATACCCAGCCGTCTCCAAGCTCGTTTTTTCCCATGCATGTACTTTAATTTGAGGCAGCTCCTCAAGCAGCAAGCGGGCGGCTCCCTCAGCCGGACTGTGTCTGTGTGTTTGTGTGTGTGTGTTTGTGTGTTTGTGTGTGTGTGTGTGTGTGTGTCTCTCTCTCTCTCTGTGTATGTTTTGGTATTCATGACAACAAGACCGGCCAGTCTTGTCATCACCATCATCATTGCCGCCATCTTCACCATCGTCAGTGTAGTGTAGGCGAACTGGTGTTTATGTTGGGAGGGGACTGTTGTGACGGCCCACGTTCTGTTACAAGATACCCACACACGCACAACCACTCGAAACACACAAAGCCACTGAACATTGGGGTTGCAAAAACGCAGGCCCCCCACAGCCACCTCTTCTGTCTTAACCGTACAAGACTAGCCTACTGGGCCCTCACAACAGTCCTTTCCGTTTATCTTTCGCCATTGTTGCTCGGTCTCTTGCAGCCTGTCGGCCTAACACTCAATTGGTCTCGCCTCAAGCAGACTGGCGCTAGCCACGCGAATAGTCTTTTGTGCGCGGCATGTCCTCCTGAGCGGGTTCGCTGATACTGCTGCTAGTTTTCCGAAGGCCGTAATGCTCCAACACACGGTCTTGCCAAGATACCGCTGATTCGGGAAGGACACAAATCCTCAAAAGAGACCGGCCGGAATCGGAGGGCATGGGCTCGAGAGTAAGATGGGGACTTATATCATTCAATATTAGTCTTAGCATACCCCCAAAAAACTGCCAAAACTGCCCCTATCTTAAGTTCGGGCCGCGTGCTCCCAACTTCAGGTTGCTGTCCATTGGAGTCCCGGTAACCGGTAGGCCGGTAGGTTCCTCGTTGAAATGTTGGAGACCCCTTCGCTGGAAACCAGCCGTAACGACTTCAACCCTAAAGGCCTCATCCCACAAGCCTGCAGAAGAACCCTAAAGGCTCTAAACCCTGAACCGTCTCGGAAGGTGGCAGCTGATGGTCGGAACTGGGTGCGGAATGGCGGCGACAGCGCGTTGCGATGCGTTGCTATGGACTCCAAAATCTCGATCACTTTCTCGATACTGGCATTGGGTTTGGGGTTTATAGAGGTTAGGGTCCTGGTTTTGGGTTTAGGACCCTCCGGCAGCAACCCAAGAGTTTGGGGACAACTTTGGTGTTCATAGGCCTGTGCAAGACCGTAGGATTTCCCAATGAAAAGGGTCTAAGTGCCAATGACGTACACGTGGTTTGCCGTAGAAGTTCACCCAAGCTTCCCGAGACCCTAAGCCCTGAAGAAGCAGACCACCAGTTGCCTCTAAGTTGAGCTTCGGGCTTGTTGGCTCCCCTGTTCATACCTTTGGGAGAGCCTCCTTGCAACAATCAGTGCTAGACCGGAACCTAAATTCTAAGCTTCCATAGGGGTACTTCCTTAAATTGCGCTCCCTTCTGGGGTCCTTTTAAAAAGGTTGCTGTACTATACTTCGGGGGCCTAAAACGGGACCCTGATTTGGAGAATTACCCATAGGATAATGGGGCAACCATCACAGCCGCGTTTGGCGGTCTCTGGTTCGACACCAGCTGGCTGCCTCTGTTCTACCCTTTGCATCCATATTTATAGTGTATTACAGTTCACTCTAGCATACTAGAGCAAGGTATCGTATACTATAGTATACTGCAAATACTGCAGCATACTATAGAGAAAATGTAGTTTTAGCTTACATAGCTTACTCTTCTATCTGTGAGCTTCGGTGCCGTGTGCGTCCTCACTACACCCCTGGCACCTCGAACCCCTCCCGAAGTCTCTTCTGACTTTAAAACTATAAACATGCATATGTGTGTTTTGTATATAAGAGAGCTGGGCTTTAGGGGTCTATTTGGCTCTTCGATTATATTCTTTGTATTTAAATAACTAAACTGATTAAGAATAATAGAAACAATTCAAATGATTAAAAAAGGCTGATGTTAATTATTTCAACTATTTCTATTAGTTTAACAATTAAACTACAAAAATAACAGAAATCATTATCTAAGGATGACTTAAATTATTTTCATTATTTCTATTGTTTTAATTGCGCTTCCAGTTTTATGAGTGCTAAAACCTTCTTGGCAGCACCTGCGCTTTGTACGGTATTTATAGGGTTTTCGTACTATCCGACCACCTGTGCTTTAGCAGTTTCTTCCCCTTCGAGTTTGCAGTTCCAACTGCTGTCGCAGTTTTGGGTCCTGAGCCTTTGCAATAGCAACTTCACCGGCTGTGACAGTTCAGGCAACTGAGCCTCTGCAAGCCTCGTGGGTTGGAGTTGAACCTAAAACCTTTTCAGGATCCTAATTAGCAAGCACCACCTCTTGGGATCCTATTGAAGCAGCAAAGCACCTCCGGTGTGAGCAAAGCGGCGGAAGAAGTGCTCTCCGAGGTTTAAGCCCGAAATAAAAAAGGACAAACCCGATTCGGGCATGAGATTAGGGATCTGTACGGTTTCGGCCTGAACCGCGAAGCTGCACCCCTAGCCCTAGATCTTAAATCCTATGCTGGAGACACTGCAGTCTCAGTGCTAAACCCTAACAGCTCAAGCCCCCGGAGGTAGCCCTCGATTAAGAGAAAACATTGGAGTTCAGGTTTCATGCAAGGGTGTTTGGGGTTTGGGGGTTTGGGGCGTTACGGGCCAGTATATATATATATATATGTATATATGTATATATAAGTTTCCAAAATACTGTTTAGTATCAAACTTAGTATCAGGGTTTAGAGCCGCGGGAACTTACATTTAGTGATTTGCGTGTTAGCATTCTTGGGCCGTGGAGTGAACATGGCGATCGATGGCCTGCCTTCGCCTTGCCAAGGCCAGGCCGATTTACGGTTTTGGGGCTTAGGCGTTCACGGTTTAGGATTTAGGGTTTAGGGTTTAGAGGCTTGGACTTAGGTGGTAAGGTGAAGGGTTTATGGAACAGGGTTTAGTGCTTCGGGTTGATGGTTTAGGGGCTTAGGTAGGGTTTAGGATTCAGGGAGATCTAGAGTCTTGGGGGCCAGGGCTCAAATCATGCCCAAGTAGCTCAAACTTTGTTCAGACATGTTGGGTTTTAGCTTTACGGAATACAGGGTCGTACCAACTCCCGATGGCTTTTATCCGAGGCTCGCAACCAAAGTCTGCGTTTGACAAAGACCTTGCCGGATTCAAGACAAGGGCTTAAGGTAAACATGGCACGGCTCAGGGTAGCAGCTGTGCTTTCTTGATCAGGTATTCGACTTAGTTTTTGAAAGCTCAGTAGTGAAGGTACCCCTGCAAAGGAACTATTTACGAGGCACGCCCCTTCACTGGGCGAAGCATACTTTGCAGTTCCTTCTGATTGTCCAGTGCCCAAGGACTGGTGAGTGTGACGTGGAACAGGTTTCTGGGCGGGGTTGGGGACTTTCAGATGTGGTCCCTGGAGACCCATTAAGTACTGATCGGTTAAGGCCTTCTCGTCCCCTGCGGGGAGCAGGCCCTGATTCCTAAACCTCGAGGGTTAAACCCTGAACCCTACACCCTGACACTGAATCCTCCTTCGGCCCTATAAAACCCCCGGAATCCCGCAACCTAAGCACTGAATTCTAAACCCTCCATCCTCAACCCAACACCGAGAATTCTAATCCTGAAAAGTTTAGGGTTTCAGGGTTACGGTTTAGGGTTTATTTGTTTAGGAGTGTAGGGTTAATAGTAATCCTAAATCCTGAACTGGAGCCTGAACAGAAGCCCCCCATGCCCTCTTGCATCAGGTCTGGCGTGTTCTGGCCGGCGTCTCTTCAAGCCGATGGTATTCAGCCGAAGGCTCCCTGTACCCTTCGTGTACTGGATTTGTTGAGGGGCTCTTTGCCTGGAGATGTATAGTGTAGGGTTAAAAACATTTACTCATGATCGGGTTCCGGAGTAGAAAAGGTCGCGACACCCCATTCTAATCATTACAAAGGCCCTTAGTATTCTATGTAAGATTCAGAAAACAGGGGACCGACAGCTGGGACTTTGGTCTTGCCTGAGGTTCAGGATTGAGGGCTCAGTTTGCGACGGAGCTCAGGGCAGCGCTGGGCTGATTGGGATGATTCAGATTCCAGACTTTAAAGCCTGGGCCCCCATACTAAATTGGTTTTGGGGGCCCCGGTTTCTGAAACTAAGCCGCAAAAGGAAAAGGGTGGCTATTTGCAGTGCGGGTTCGATTCTTCAGAACACGTTCCGGCTTTGGTTGTTCACTCAACATGCAGCTCTTATGCATGTTTTGAGTTGAATCGAAACCTGATGCCCTTGTAGTATGATGATGATCTATGCCCGAGCAACCTCAGCTCGTTTTCTGAATCGGGACGTGTTTAAGACTTCGGTTCAAGTTTTATGGTTTTGGGTTCGGTTTAGAGAAGTTGAGATAGCTCTTCGGTCTTCGGGTGCGGGGTCTGTATAACTTCCGTCTAATTATATACTCCCCTGGGCCCTAAGCCCAAGCCCTGAAACTCCCACACCCCTAACTCTGCGAACTCCAAGAAACCAGGAGCTCCATGACCTCTGAGCCTTTGCCACTACTGGCACTGAAAGGAAACACTGAAAGGAACCCTTCGGTTACCCTAAACCCATCTTGGGACTGAACATGGCCCCTATAGCGAAACCCGTAGACTGCAACGAAGCCCTTTGAAAGGCTCATCTCTGTCGTCTTTTCAGAGACTTTAGATATGGATGTTTCCGAAGAAGGGGTGCCCTATTTTTGGGGGGTTCTTATGATAAAGATCCTGTTATTTAGGGTACGATTGGGGTCCCCCATTTTCGGAAACCGCAATATTATACTACATGGTTTTTTGGTGCCAAACTCCGCAATGGTCGTACATACCTGGACTCTGGATCTACACTTTTGGTAGGGTCCCGCTAAACTCTATGTTCGGGTTTATACCAGGGCCCTACAACAAAGTAGACTCTGGTGAGTGAAGTAGATGCAGCCCTAAACCCTAACCATCCTAAGGAAAAGCACGAAATCCTCCCCCGAACGTTGGTAGCACAGATGGACTCCCTGCAGTTCTGAGGCCACCTCACCAGTTCCGAAGCCTCTTCAGGTGCCCTCTGTGCGGCTGTTGGGTGGTTCTCTTTGCTGGGGAGGCTGTTTGGTGTTCAGGGTTGTATCTAGGAGTTTGAGGGTTGCTGTTGTTCGTGCTGTCGGGCTTGAGGTTTAGAGTTTTCGAGTTGGGGGTTCACGGTTTTGGGTGCTTACGGGATCTTGCGAGCATGCAGCGGTTGAGCGTCGTGTTTGTTTTTACTTCAATTCGAGACCTCAGCAGCAAAACATTTCGAGAACGGAGCCCTCAGAACGACAATGCTCAATGGCGATGACTCTCTTGAACTTGCTCCAACCGCAAAGTTACAAGACGAAAGATACTTCAGGCCCTTCCCAAAACAGTGCTTTCGTAACCGGGGAGAAAATGAACCCGTAAACCTGAACTGGCAAGCTCCACCACTGTTTCTCAAGATGTCGGAACTCTGCAATTCAGAGTGTCGTTGTTTCTTTGCTATCAAAACACACTGCCTTTTGGAGCCGTTGCTCCGTTGTCTGTAGTATGGTATAGCCAGCCCGAAGGAACAGATGGACTTGGAAAGAAACACCCAAACCGCTAAACCCAAACCTATATATCTTTCAGAACAACCCCGCAGAAAGGTTCATCCATGGTTGAGGGAAGTGAAGACAGGGGTCGGGCCCTAAATAAGCCTTACGTATTGATATAGATTCGGGCTTGGGCCAATTATACTATATATTAGGGACTGTATGGGGCTAAGTCGAGACAAGCTAGATTCGCACAATTCTGCACAACCGCTGAAGACCCTTGCGGGCAAGATCGTATTCTTCGGGTCGATACTCTGCAGCCCGTCTAGACTGCGCCCATCAGATCCCACAAATGCTTTTACAATAGAAAATCCTTCTAGCAACTTGGAACGCGAGCTGTGAGCCCTGCTTCAACAATCAAGAAGGCATCCCAGTCCAGCTCCTATCGGGGTCTGAGGCCCAGGCGGTTTAGGGTTTGGGGTTTGGGATTTGGAATGGTTTAGGGTTTTGGGTTTAGGGCTTGGGGTTTAGGGTTTCCGGCTCTTTCTGCATCAGGACGCGGACCGAGGTGTAAGCTTTCGGCTTGCGGGGCTGTTCAGTCTGCCTTTCTAAACCTGTAGCCGTTCACCCCAATAAGCGTACATTTCCACACGTCGAAACTCCATGATCTATATTGAATCAGAAGGGAGCTTAGGGTTTAGAGGGCTTACAAGGCTGGGTTGAGGCTTCAGTGTCGTTTTTGCGGCGAAGGCTCCTGATTGAGGGGGTCATGGATACTCCAAGCAATAGGCCAATAGGCATGCTGGCACACAACCGCATGCCGCAGAGCCAGAATCCTCAAGCCGAACATGAATAAGAAGCCCTTTTCAGCCCTACCTACCCCCGAAACCGCAAGCCCTCAATCGCACGAGACGGATGCTAAAGGCCTCGACCCTACCCACGACGTAGTAAACTTAGGGGTAACAGTATTTAGGTGCGCTTATAGTCCAAATATTCTGTTTAAGGTCTACATTTCAAATCTGTGGCAAAACCATACAAATCGCAAAGCTCTCAAGGTGGTCAATGCACTACTTACTTGATCCCTGCAAAAGAGGCACCATTCTTCGCTAACCATGGACACACCATCCCCAATCCCGTAAGCTCCTTCAGCTATCCATAAGGCCAAGCCCGAAGCCTCAAAGCCTAAACCTTATCCTACCCGAGGCAGGACGACTCCTGGCCTCCCAGGGCAGCCGCCATTCTGTTGGATGGCAGGTTCTATGGCTATGGTCAGCTTCCAGTGTTGGGTCTTACTTAAGGAGAAGAATAATCGAATCATAACCGTACTTATTACCAATGAGTATCACAGTAGCGTTTTGATGGGTAGTATAATGATGTGAATGTTGCCATTATATATGAGGTAGGGCTAAGCTGTATGCGTAGAGAATCCGTGTTGGGGATTGCGATATACCGGCAATTACACCCCTTCTTGGTATTCAATTCGAGACATGTCGGCTTGAGGCTTATAAGCGCGACTCCAGGCCTTTGCTTCACGAAATCGAAACCCCAATTCCTGCCAATCCCCGCAGACCCCAAGCCCCACGGTTTCCCCAACTCCATGAATCCACACCTTATCATAAGCGGCCCTCGTTACCCTCAACCCTTAATCCTAAACCCTCAAATCAGGCGCCAGCGCTTCTCCAGCCTCTCAGAGATGCAATCCTTCTGCGAGCGGGTGGATATCGATGGCTGGGTCCGCAGGGGCCCAAAGCAGATTTGGTTTTTGCTCGTTTTGCGGGCTTCAAGGATGGGGAGTTCTGTCAGCCCTAGCACGGGATGCCCCAAACTCGCGTGAGTTCTGCATCCAAGTTCTCAGGGTTTTGTGGGTCGTGTGTTCGTCCTTGCATGGAACAACAGAGGCGGGCATTGGCTACCCTACTGTAATTCAATGCACACCCGAGTTCCTGTCACGTAGAGAAACTCACGATAGTACCGTTTCTTGTGATAGAGGTACCGTTTCTTGTGATAGAGGTTTAAAAAGAACAGGAAACATGCACAGCTTCACTCTATTCCGTTAACTGACTTAGTCTGCTGAGTTTCATCATAACGGTCTCTTCCTTACGACGCAGCCTAATCTGGCATATTTTCAATCCTAGCAGTTCCGAAGAGCGCTTGACCCTCCAGGGTTTGTATAGTGTTGAGAATGTCAAGCTGCTCATCTGCTAGACCTAGCCCTAGCTGGCAATTTCAGAAAACGAGGAGCGGGATCCTGCTACCACCCTAAGATACAATATAAATCTTGCATTACCATAATAAGGAATATACCATAATTCCCATAGTTCAGGGTCCTCAAGGTAATGCAGGATTTATATCATCAACAGTAGGGGCTTTTGGGGTTCCTTCAGATCATAATGATAGTACAATGTACCCCCCAAAAAACCTTATTCTGATTATTTTAGCACATACTTTAACTACGGTATGCCCTTGTTTGAAAAGACTCAAAGAAACCTTCGAGGTGCTGACTTCCTGTCGACAGATCGCATGAACGAGCGCGAGGAAGAGGCAAGACTCGAAGATGAGGGGCTTACGGGGTTTAGGGCTAGGGCTTGTAGGTTCTAGGGCAAAAATCCTAAGTCCTCGGCCCCCAACCCGAAGCCCCCAACCCTTGTTCTTATAAACCCTAAACCCTAAATCCTAGACGGGAACCGGTGAGGTCATGGAGAGTGCTCTGTTTGGAGAGCTTCTTCGACTTTCTTTGGGGCTCTCCGTTTGCCCTTCCAGGCCCCTGTCGAACATAAATCTGAGCCATACATCCGAACTGAACAGCCATCGTGCGAACGAGAAAATTTGAAGAGGAAATATACTTCTGACCGAAAATGCATTCACAATTCATATCATGCTCTAACCGCTAGGGACGATGTAGAGCCTGAACTCGAAAATTTTTCGTCGTTTGAAGCATCGATCGAATCATGGCTGCCGACCAGCTCATGGCTTCGGGAGTAGAGCACCCCTCTTCTCACATTTTAGGGTTTATAAAGAGGCTAGGGGTTAAGTTAAGGGGTTCAGGGTTTAGTTTGGGGAGTTACGGGTCGGAACAGCCCCAGGAGGCCGGGTGTATGCACAGTGCGCGCAATGGGTTCGCAGGTGCGCTTCTCCAGCAATGAGGGCGCAGCCACTTATCACGCGCTTGCGTCAGCAAGTGGTCCCGCCCCAACCAGCCGAACTATTCTCAATTAGGCTTTAGGACTTTAGGGTTCACCCCAAACCCCCTCAAGGGGGCTTTCTTGCGTTCTGCTTCCCTTCGCAGTTCTACATCAAGGACCACACATTCCACAGCAAACCACCGCTGAGATGGATAGGTGTTGGGCTCGACAAGAAGTAACGCCCCTGGAATGCGATGGGAAGGCCCTGAAGATAAGAGATGTCTTTTTGGTGGTGTTGGGCAAATCGCTCTCTAGGAGTACCCCCAGACCCGGACACAACCCGGTGCGAGTGCGAGGGACGTAGGGTCATGTCAGTCAGCGCTCTCGGCAGTTAAGGGTTTCGAGTTTTTGGGGCTTACAGTATTCAGGGAGAGGTTTTTGGGGTTTACGGTTTAGCGTTTCCCAGCTTCTCACATGCCCCATAGGGCCTGGAAGGTGGGAGTATACCGGCGGTAACCTTGAGGCCGAAACGGTAGCACTCAGTTTCCTGTTCCTCTCTGGTCCAGTTCTGTCCTCTGCGCGCCCTGTGCATGTGCCGAAAATCTTGGAGCATAGCCGAACGTCCTCATAGGCAGGAGTCAAGTCGCAGGAAGCAGTGATGCTGGAACGCACAGAACACAAGAAGTCCGCTATGCGTTGCGAAAATCCTTCTAACAAAAAGACGTCCTAGCGTATACTGCATGCACGACAAATATAAAATGCCGAAAAGCCCTGAAAGTTGCTCGTGGGCTGTCTTGGCGTGGGTATGTCTGAGTACGAATGCGCGCTCACAAAGCAGGCTCTTGTTCAGGCATGCTCCAAGCCCTAAGCCCCAAAGCCAGACCCTTACAGCCCTTACACTTATGTCCACACCCTGCCGGCCGGAACGGAGGAGATCGTAGCCAAGACCCTCAAGGATGTGGCCGCAACCGACTCAGCCAAGTGATCTTCGACTCGGAAAGCCCCCAGGGTTGCGTGTTTAGAGTTTCGGGCTTAGGGATTTTCGGAGTCTTCCATTCTTGTGTTTGATTGAGGGGGACGAGGTGGAGTGTACCAATGATGCAGATTGATGGTTGGAGGTTGTCAGTTGCATGCAGCAGGGTTGGAATCTAATTTTTCAACAGACAGCAGCACACCAAGCTTCCAGAGGCTCGGGTGCTGTTTCGACTTTCGGGTGAGACTTGCGATCTTCTCTTCGGTGTCGGGCATAACCTTTGTTTGCTGAAAAAACAACCCTGAAGCCTTATCTCTAACCCAGGTTTCAATCCTAATCCCGACAGCATGTACAAGCCACAAAGCCCTAAATCAACCCTGAAACGACCCTATAGACCCCAAACGATCGACTAGGCAGTGCCGTGTCGCCAGTCCCGAGACGCAACTCTGCCCTTGAAGAACACAAGCAGAAGCGTCCGTTTCTTGATAACTTGGTATTGGGTTTTGGGGTTTTTAGCGATTAAGGTTTAGGGTTAAGGGTTTCAGGTTCAGGGTTTAGGCATGGCCACGAGCATGATTGACATTCTTCTAATTTTTCAGGCTCGGTGCCGACAGTACCCCTTTGCAGTCCTCATTATAACTCTACGTAGTGTACTTGTACGGTTATGGTATATTACTGTACACAAGGCACTATGCTAAGTAAGTCAGCAGTGAGGCTGCGAAATCTCTGCGAACCCAGAACTCTTACGGCATCCTTCAACTGAGCCCTGAAAAGGAACCCTATTCTAATCATGACCCCTATCTTAGGTCCTGCAGCATTTGGTTAGCTTTTGTTCTCGCCTCAGGGGGATTGCCAAGTTGCTGCACTTTTAAGGTGTTTCCAAAATAAGGGCCGTTCTGGTATTCAAGTGATATTGTCGTCTAGGAATTCGGGCTCTCTGGTGCAAATGTCAGGGTGCAGGGTTCTAGGGCTTTCGAAATTTAGGATCCGGCCTAGAAGAGTACACCACTTTCAACGCACATGTTGGTGTAACTGGTGGCTCTTAAAAATTTGGGGTTGGGCCCGTGGGGCTTTGGGCGCTGTTTGCGAGACATTGGCTGACGTCTTCGCCCTACCCGGAGTTTAAGGTCTCTGGTTTGGAGTTGATGGCATGTGTCCGTTCTCAGCTTGCGGATTGCCAGGATTAGCACGTGAAGTTTTCCTGTGTGTCTTCGATGATAAATCCCTTCAGTAACCTTGGCCTTACCAAATCATTGCCAAGTGACCCCATTGCGGTGGCTTAGGATTTTAGGAGGCTCGGACACAGGCTGAAGATAGGCCGTGACCATAAATCCTGCTTGCATTCAAGCATAATGCGAATATCGCAACAGCATAGTGGTCAAGTCGAGTCAACATTGAAACAAGGGCGGATTTGCGGACATTGCCAGTGGAAACTGAATACTTCAGCATCCCCTCAACACCAGAAACTTAATGGGTGTAAGTTCCTCAACCCTAAGCTAAACCGTAATCCCGTAAGTGGCCCGTAAGTCAGAACCACCTGTTTGACCTGATTTTCGTACAAAGACTCTCGGCCATAGTGCAAAGCAGTGCAAAGTGGGTGAGAGATGACGCCGACCGACTGAGACAGTAATGTATGGCAAGCCATCAATGTGTTGATAGAATTTTGTAGCCAAGCGGGGCCTTCAGTCTTAGAGCAGGCTTTCCGGCACATTGTAGTAGTATAAGCGCATGAAGGAACTCAAAGGAATAGTGTTGGCAGTTATTTTTGGGTCCGAAAATACATACCATGGCTACCACATTGTAAGGTAATCGTGAATAGGGAGTTCCCCTGGCGGCCAAAGCAAACACGTCAGGGATTGGGATTTAGGATTCCCAAACCCTAAACACTAAACCGGGTACGTAGGAGACTATATGTCAATGCACTATCCTCAGTAAGGTTTGCTGCGGCAGAGCTTGCGGCCTGTGAGTGTGCTACGCCTACATCTTGAACCGGGCTGGCCCCCAAACCCTAAAGCCTGAATCCGCTGAACCCTGGACCTCAAGATCTAGACCCCCTTTTCTTGGGTCTAAGATTTAGATTCTTCTGGCACCTGAGGTCGCAAGCTGACTCTGACACCCTGGAGTGGTGGAAATCGATCCAGGGTTTAGAGTTTAGAGCCTAAACCCTAAACCCACAAGACAACCCAAAAGTTCAGGGTATCGGGACGCGAAAGATCATCGAGCCGTTGGCCCTCAACTCGCAAGCCCGATCCTGATCCCCCCAGATCCCAACCACCCTAAAACCTAAAACGCAAAACCTTAAACCCTGAACCATGAACCCTAAACCCATCAGGCCCTACCATGGCTCTGCGACTGATGCTGGTCCACCTGGAGCGAGCTATGCGGGTGCAATCGGGACGGGGAGTTCGATTTGTGTCGGTCTTGGGGTTTGGGGTATAGGGATCAGGGATTATAGGGATTAGGGTTAGGGCGGTTAGGGCTTAGGGTTTAGGGTTTGGGCTAGGGTGGGTGTGGTCTCTTGACATTGAGGATGGCTATAGGGTTCAAACCGGGGTTCCCAATCTTCTACAGCCTACCGGAATTTCACGGGGCTTCGGGCATTATGAGATGGTTAGTGGCCAGCTTGTGGCGCTGTGGTGGCCCGGCTTATTACAGGCCGGAGTCATTTTTAATGTTGGTCCATGGGCCAATGGGGCTCCTCAAACCTGAACTATAAAGACCAAAACACGATGACTTTACTGCCGCGGTAGCACGGCCAGGGTTTTAGGTTCAAGGTTCAGAGATCATGGCATGAAGGGTTGTAGGGTTCGGGGTCCTAAACCCTAAACCCGGTTTCAGGAAAAGAGACTTGGCGACCAGGTGCCACTGGAGTCGGACTTAGCAGATGCCATGGAGGTCCACGTCCTCTTCAACACCGTCAAGGCCAGTGGGTTTAGAGTCTACAGCCCTTTGAGGTTTAGGGTTCAGGGTTCCGGGTTTAGGATCTTTCAATTGCAGCCAATACCCCAACACAATTTCAGACCCTAAACCCTGAACCCAAACCCGAAATGTGCAGGGGTATGTTTTCTCTGGTTCTCTGAATATTGCAATGGGCTTCGCATGAGACTCGGACCTATGGCTTCCAATTTTGGATTATCACACTTTTTCAAAGATTAAGGCATGAGGGTTTAAAGCTCGGTGTGCGTGTATATATAATGTGTATATACATATATATATATATATACATATATACCTGTACAGACACGTCTATACATACACATATATATATACACATAGAAACATAGATGCATGCATACATACATACATACATACATACATGTATGTACATACATGTACATACATGTACATACATGTACAACATATACATACATATACGTACATATGTATATACATGTATATATATATATATACATGTATATACATGTTGTATATACACATATATATATATATATCGCTTCTTATTTGTATGTTCGATGTTACTCGCTTATTTGGTTCATCCTTTATTCGTTTAATTGTTTATATGCACAAGCACCAGCAAAGAGCAAGACAAAACTCAAGTCGATCCTAGACTTGATCCAAGGGCCCCCCCCCCCCCAAACCCTGAAACCTAAACTTGGTACAAGTGCATGCCGAAGCATAGAAGGTTAGATTCGGTTTAGGGTTGAGACATTAGGTTTAGGTGGACGCTACGTAGTCCTCGACCCCAACCAAGGCATGGATCTTGAATGTCGCACTTCCGCACGAGGATCCTGAGGCGATTGAGGATTTAACTTGTAGAACTTCAGAGCTTAGGTACAGGGTTCAGGGTTGAGGGTCAACTGACGGAGCATGTGGTAATCAGGGTTTAGGGTAGGTGAGCGTAGAGGGAGAGGCTAAGACGAAAAGACTTTGGGTTTACGGTCTGGGGTCGTCTTCACTTCTGTGCCTTGGCATTCTTGGGTGTGAGGATGCTTTCACACATGGTAAAAACTCAGCCCTGCAAGTTGACCCTGTGTTCAAACCCGCCTACGCCTTAAACCTTATAACCCAAAATGCAAACAGAGTTTTCAGGTGACTCTCAGGTTGAAAACCTATCTCTTCCTCTCCACCCTAGACTCGTTTAACCCTGACGCCCTTTGCTAACCTTAATCCCTAAACCCTAAACCCTGAAGTGAAGGGTTTCGAGTTTCAGGTTTCTGGCAGGCTCCGCACCTCGGAATTCACTCCTGACAAGTATACCATCAGTTTGATAACGATTTTGGGCAGGGGTTTAGGGTTGAGACCTGGCAAAGGCACAGCAGCCAAGAGGACAAGCCTCGATCAACTTTTCCATTATTGCTGAGGGGCTTTCGGTCTTGCCCGTATAGGGCTTAGGGCCGGCTTAGGGTTTCCACGGTTTCGGGGTTTCGGGTTTAGGATTTAGGGTTAAGGGTTTAGCGCTTATAGGGTTTATAGGGTTGGGTTGATGTTGTTTCGGCTAACACCCCAAACCTCAAAGTCGACGCCATGTGCACGAACACCTACAGGAGTCTAATCCTCCATTCCTATACAGCAAGGTTTAGGTTTAGGGCCGGTGAGGCCAAGTTACCCAATTCTTGTAAGCCTGAGGTTACAACAGAAAGCACCCTAAACTCTTGAGCCTTGCACCAAACCTTTCCTCAAGCCTTCAAACCCTGAACTCGTAAACCCGAAATCCAGAACCCCAAACCCTAAACCCACGCAGAACCAAACCTAGACTCAGAATCGCTGAAAAGAGAACCCGCGACCTCCTGAACCGTAAACCCAGATTTCCAAAACCCCAACCCGGAACTCGAGAGGCTTTCGGATTGAAAGGTTTAGAGGCTTCAGGGGTTCAGGGTTTAGGGTTGAAAGGGTTCTTCGGGGTTTAGGGCTATGGGGCTTAGAGGTTTGGAGTTTATAGGGTTTTTGGGGTTGAGGGCCTGCAGGTAACTCTGCCTTGGGAAGGCTGTGCTCCACGGCTGGGGCCTAGCCGAGCTCGAGGTGCGCAAGCTGAAGCGGGTGGAGAAAGGGTTCAGAGTTTAGGGTTTAGAGATGTAGGGCTTAGGGGTTTAAGGAGGTAGAGTTTCGGGTTCAGGGCGATGAAGGGCTTTTTGGACTAGTAGTTTGGGCTCAGGTAGGGATGTAGGACCGTTATTCACCCTTTGCTGTCGGAGTTTTGTTTTTGTTCTGCCCGGCTTTCGGCGTTTCGGGCTGGAGTTGACGCAACGCTTTTCAAGTCTCGAAAGCTCTTAGGCTCCCTTCAGGCTCCCTTCATCCCAAATCCCAAAGACCCATACATAAGTCCCTGAACCCCAAATCCTGAACCCACCAACCCCTCAGTCCATTCCTGCCTCACCCATAAGTCGCTTCATGCCAAACCCCAAAACCATAAACCCTGAAATCCTGAAACCCATAACCCCAAGTGCCTTCATCCAAAAAAACCCTTAGTCCCTGCATACCAAACCCTAAACGTTGCACCCCAAGCCTCGAAGCCCCTACTATCGATATTCTTGCCCAGGCTTCTTATATTATCATAAATACACCATAAAGGAGCCCAAAACCCTATTCGAACTCTTAGGGCCTCTACAGTAACTCACTGGTTTAGGGTATTAGCGTTAAGGGCTTAGGGTCCATGAACCCTATAAACCCTAAACCCTAAACAGCCTTGAGAAGTCCCTTCATCCTGGCACGATGCAGGCGAGATTCTTCGCACAGTACAAGCCGGCTCCCCAGCGCGCTCGACCGGGATCGAGCAGCTTTTGACTGGCGTCCTTGGAGGGTTCCCGAGAGCCTCTTTTAACGACTTTGGGGGCTGGGTTGTGTTGTGTTCTGTTTTTTTAGTGAGGGGGGAAGGTTTGAGGTTGTTGGGATTCTGGTTTCCCCTAGACCCTAAGCCCGAAACCTTGGAGGCCTGTCTTGATCCTCAATCCTCTGGCCCCGAGCCTTCGGCTCTAGACACCCTAAGCACACGGAAAAGCAAGGCTCTGAAGCCCTAAACCTTGATGCCTCTTGAGTTTGGAGGTTTGCTACTGGCCAGCTAAGGTTTTTTGTTGAGGTCCGCGAGGGCTTAGGAGACTCAGGGGTGAAGGCGTTAATGTGTATTGGGTGCAGGAAGAAGCTCGCGTTTTTGGATCGTGTTTAGACTTCAGGGTTCAGTGGGAAGTGGATGAAGTGAATAGCTTCCTACACGAAGGGCCTGTCTTGTCCTTGGGCTTACGAGTGTAATGCACTTTAGCTTGAGAGGTCTGCGTACGAGAGGGCATGGGAGAAACGAGCACCTCAGATGAACAAAGAACAAAGGGAAACGTGAGGTCGAGTTGCAATTGGCCTGCACAGCATGCCTGAACAATGCGTAATGGTATCCCTGACAGCCCGAAGTACGCAGCCAATATACCCCAATCTCTATTGTAGTTAATGAGGCCCCAACATTGCCAAGGAGATTTTGGACCGCAGTCTACACTGCAGAGGCAGAGGACCATCCCGCGGGCGGCAAACCCGAAGCCCTCGATCTTTAACACCGTTTAACCGAAACTCCTGGTGACATGTAGAATTTAGGGTTTTGCAAAAATTGGGGCTGTAGGGTTGAATATTTGACTGCGGACTGTTGTCTTGGGGCATATCAGGGTCAACCCGCGACCTAGAAAATCCAGGCTGGCATAGCAGTGGAATATTTCCCGAAACAACATTATACATACAAAGGCCCATACTGTATGGCATTTTGAGAAATTCGGTGTGTGAGCCAAACCCTGATCCCTACGAGAACACTGAGAACCCAACCTCACCCGAAAAACCGTTTGCCCCCAGGGCGCAAGACTTGCTTGGATCTGCCCAGACGACACCGAGCGATGAATGAGACAGCTGGGACGACAGATCATGTACGGCAGTCCTGCTGCCTGACAATTACCAGCACTGGCCAAGGTCTTGAGCCACAACTTCAAAGCCAGACTTCAACCTACACCCTGGACCGTAAATCCCCAAATCCCGAAAACCCTCAACCCTAGACCCTCAACCTGAAACCCAAAGTAGGCACTACACCCTGAATTGACACTATCTCGCGAGGATCCTGACGCAGGCAGGTCAGATGCTGTCGTCGCTGCCTTAACGCGGAGCAGGCTGGAGAATCGCACCCTTCTTGATGATCAGGAGGCTGGGGTTCGAGGACTTCGATTACTCAGCAAGAACCCCTCTTTATGCCCTAAATCTTAAACCGTACGCAGGGTTTGGGGGGTTTTGGGTTGGGCACCCGGAGCTGCAGGGCTTCGGTGCACGGGTGTTGGACAGCCTTGTTTAGGCTTTCGAGATTCAGGAATTTAGGGTTCAGGATTTTGGGTTTAGGGCTTCAGGAATTTAGGGTTCAGGATTTGGGGTTTGAGAGAGCATTTGCCAGGTAGGTGATCTAGCACGCAACTCTGAAACACCATGTTTTGCTCGCTCTAGAGAGCGCAATGGTTCGCAAGCCCTGGAGTTGCTATCTCGTTGCGAAGCCTTCCCTTTAGCACTTGCCAAACTAGTACATGTAAGAAACAGGCTCTGGCTATATACACCCTTCCCCCTCTTATTAGGCACCATACCGAATAATGGAAGCACTTTTCGGAAGAGCCCTCACATTATCAACGCATCTTTAAACCTAATTGAATTAGGGGTTTCAGGAGCAAGGTCAAAAGCATGAGCAGGAGCAAGAGCCAGAGCAGGAGCAAGAGCAGGAGCAACAGACAGAGCAGGAGTAAGAGCAGGAGCAACAGCAAGAGAGAGAGAGAGAGCGAGCAAGATCCCCGTGACAGTAGAGATATAGATCACGGAGTCAAACGAACGCTTTGCCAGGGTGTCCGTTTCACGTTAGAGCGAAGGGATTAGAGGCTACCGGAGAAGATTGCAACCAAGACCCCGCTTCTTTTCTGGATACAAATTATTTGACCGGCTCTCGGGACAGGAATGGTGGCGACAAGCCTACTCTTGCCGAGAGGTTTTACTCGCTCTGCTCATCTCTCAGATCTTGGATGAGCGTGGACCCGGGTGTGCTTCTTTATGGGTCTGGGTCATGAAAGCCAAATTTAACAGTTCCAGTTTCCTGTTCAGCCCTGATCCAAGGGCAAAATATAGCTGCCTTATTGAGGGTAGGGTAGGATTTTCAGGTGCATTATACGATAATATACGATACATAAATCAAGGAGCTTTAAGAGTTCCTCTCACTGATATTTCAGGCCCGACATCGAGCCTCTAGGAACTTCCCAAGCTCAAAACCTCCTAAAGATTGCTGTCGAACGCCGGCTTCTGACCCGCATCATCCTTGGAACCCAGGCTCCTAAGCTGTCCTAAACCCTACAGCTGAAACCTTCTGCCTTATCATCATAGTTCGAATGGTGTTCAGGGGGATGTTCTAGTAGGAAAATACATATTAATTGAGAAACCATGAAAAACACGCACCGCTTCAGCGTTGTTAGGACGAACGCGGTCAAAATCATTTGGTGGAGCCCAGAGACACGACATAACTACCTTGCTCAGCCGCTATGACGATGCTCAAGACGGACGACATCACATCGAAGTTCCGACAACTTCCAGTAATGAAGTCGGGACGAATCGATTGCTTGCAATCCTGCGCCTCCGCAGTCCTTGTTCCGGGTTCTACAACTCTGTGGGATGCGGCGTCGTCTACAGTCACACGAGAAACCCTCATGACTGAACTATTCTGTCAGGCCCCTGTATTGACAGATTCAAAGTCGTTCTGCGTGGAATTCCGGGTTCAGTGTGCTCGTCTGCGGTGTTGGTTTTTGAGGGAAAGGGCCTGCTGCTGGAGGTTTATAGTGCGCAGGTTTCCGGATTAGCTATCAGTTATGATTGTAGTTTCAGCGGTTCGACGTACGAGGGGTGATTCCGACACCACAAAATCAAGTTTGCTACAGAACAATTTCCTTGTGGCTATGGCGCAGCCCTCCCTGAACATCCTGAGCAGCCTGGAATTTCTGGTCGAGTTGGAGGAAGACGAAACGTGCACCTAACAGGGCGAGCAATTGATAGCCTTCAAGGATCAACTGTATGTCCGCTTGCTGCACAAGAGCTACCACAATGGATCGCAAGAGCCATTCAGGGGTGGAGCTGGATCATGGCTCCCACCAAATATGGGACCATAGCCCTAAATCGGAAGCTGTGAACGTGCAAGCCAACACAGACTTTTCAAGCCCGTGCTCCAATCCGAAATCCCAAATCCTGAAACGCGAAATCCGAATCCGAAACGTCCTAAGCCCATGAAAAAACACCTTCCTGCAGTGGCCGAGGTCCAGAGGCGAGCCAATCCCAGCAAATCTCTGCCCTCGAGGCGCCATCGAGTTGGGGTTACCTAAGGTTTAGGGTTTACGGGTTGGGGTTGGGCCCATTGGGTGGGGTTTAGGTGTTTCAGTGTTTGCTCTTGAGGTTGCATGCGGGCTTCGTAATGGGTGCGGCAGGGCCGGGCCGCTGGCTGTTGGGAAATGTCTGAAATCTCCCCAACACTATGACTCGTAGACTTAAACCCGAAGCCCCAAACCTTAGACCCCAAACCCTAAACCTTAAACCCTAAACCACAGCCCTAAACCTTAAACTGCCTCAAACCCTAGACCTTAAACCTCAAACAAATCCTATGAACCGTGCCTTGGGCATCGACTTTTACGGTGCCTTCCTTTGAAACTTCCAGCAGCCGCTGACAACCCTTGCGCACCCCGACCGAACAGCAGCTTGAAAGCCGTTAAGGGTTCCTTGTAGGGCCTGATATATCGGAGTTTCAGAACATGAAGTTCGGGGTTTAGGGTTTAGGGGTTTTGTGTCTAGGGGTAGCATGAACTTTGAATACGGACCCCTCAAGTACAACGAAGATGCAGACATACGTCCAGCCTCAATCCACACAGTGGAGTTGCCGACACCACCTTGGCCGTTTCAGCCCGGAAGCTCGGGTCGAGATTTGGGCATCTGCACATTGGCCCTTCTCTCCCGAAGTACGCCATCGACCCTGAGTATGTTCTGGTAGGTTTATCGATTGACAGCATCTGGTACCCCGCATTTTCGGGCGTGAAGTTTGGATGGCATGGTTGGATCCCGAAGAAAGGTTCATCCACTGGAGGTGACATCGGAGTCAACAGGAAGGCAAGCAGGAGATGTCTTCATCCTTGGCTGGCTCTTGTTACCAACCCTGATAAAGTCAATTCGTACGTCAAAACATGAGAAATGGCTCGATGCCGATCCACCTGCACCTCTTCTATTTCTATGTAAATGCGGATATATATATATATATAATGTGTATATATATATATAGGCATTTACATATACAAATGTTATGTAGCTAAACATAGAGACACATTGTGTGTATGTGTGAATGCACGTCAACACACACACACACAATCCATCCATTTGTGTGGATCTGTCTGCAGAGACACAGAAGGCGTCCCCACATAGTACGGCATCCGACTCCACACTGATATCCGCAAGCCTTATTTAAACCTGGTCCACCGCACTCCTACAGCCGTGAACCCCTTGTGCCTCTAAGAGCCTAACCCTCACAGAAATCCGGGGACAGCACAGGCCGAAGCTGCAACAGCAGGCGGGTCAAGGTTGACGGGTTTTGGGGGAACGTTTCGAGTTTCCAGCTCGGAGATTGAAAGTGTTTGGGGTTTAGGGGCTTATGGGAGATTGGAAGATCGGGGTTTAGGACTGTAGGTTTGAGGCGTGCTTATCAGGTGCGCAACGCCCCAAACCCGAAACCCTAAAACCGCGCTTCTGGGTTAACGGTTCGTGCTACTTCTCCCGTTGAATTTCCTAATCTGCCTGCGTACATCACGGCAAGCCCGCGTGCATCAGATTCCCCTACAGGTCAGGGTACCCACTAGTTGTAGGCAGTTAGTCTTAACGCAGTAGGCCTGTGGGTTGGTGATTGGGGGAGGATGTGATGATTAGAGGCACTTGGACCCTTACGGTTTGTAACACGAGCAAGAGTAATTAATTGTCAATAGATGATGTCCAAAAGGCTCCCCTATGTCCAGAGGTTGAAGGCCTGGACCCTGCCGGCAAAACATATTGCTCATAGCGATGGCCTAGAGTCAAATCGTGAATCTGCAGCATGCAGCTGTGGATCCGAATCACGCGTTCTGTGGTTTGAGATGTAAATGAAAGTCAGGGGACGCAAACATGTCGGATTCGGTGCCAACTATGCCTAAACCCCAAACCCTAGATCCCAAATCCCGAAACTTGAATCGGAGGTATGCAATGTGGTATACAAAGCCAGGCAGCCGTCACCCGATCGCTGCCGAGATCGAAGGACTATGCTGGCTACATGATCAGAAAGTGTGGAGGTCTTCGGGTTTAGAATTTTGTGTTTTAGGGTGTGGGGTTTAAGGTTTTAGATTAAGGTTTAGGTTGTGGTTTCCTGGTTAAGACTTTTTGCGGTTACACTTGTTAAGCGTTCCTCACTCGCATGAGCTGGAATCTATGCTAGGCCACGAGGCACGTTTTCCATCCTCAAAGAATCGCTTAATTAATATCCCTGCAAACCCTTAAACCCCCTACGAACCCTCGAAACTTGATCGTACACTTGGCCAGACACCCCTGAGCGCTAAACCATTTGTCCGAGTGCCGCAGGGGGGATTTTGTCAGTTTAGCTTCCTGCAGAGATCTGCAGAAGAAAACAAGACATGCCATGCAGGGTCCAAGTGTCTGGTCGAAGAGGATGTGTGAAAGTCCCTGTTTGACCTGGTCTCAGGCCGCACACTTCGCTCTGCGTGTGAAAGTCAGGGTTTCTGGTTCAAGGCCTTATAGGACTTTAGGGTTCATATTGTGTGTAGTTAAGGTGCGTAACTACAATCAACGCACAGAGCGGTTTGAGATTTGCGCAGCATTTTGGAACACTTAGCAACCGGACCATGGCATAGCATTCCCAGAAACCGAATAGAAAGTTCTAAACCCCAATCCGCTATCAGACCCTCAATCCTGGACTCATAAAAAATGCTCCCCCAAAACCCTTAAACTTAATCCCGAACCCTAAACCCTAAACCCCAAAACCCTGAACCCTAAACCCTCACACTTTGAGCCTTGAAGGACCAGTGCCCACCAAAATGAAGCTCATCGGGAACAGCCTCTCTGTCTACTGGCAGGCGGGCCTCGGGCGTTAAGAGTTCGGGGCTTAGTAGCTCAAAGGGCTTAGGGTCTATAGGGATGAGGGAGAGGGGTTTAGAACTTAATGCGTGCGGTGATACCTAGGTGATGGGAACGGGCGCTGGCATGGGAACTCAGTGTTACCGGATGAGGCTGTTTTCTGGCTTTGAAAAAGGTGAAGTCCTTCGGTGCGAGTTGTCAATCTAAGAGTGTCTTAGTTCACTTGCTCTGAGATCTTGATAGTTGAACATCACATACTTTGATTACACGTAGGTTATCAGCCGTAGGCTAGCTCTGTGTGGGGTTAGAGGCCGGTACGTAAGGGTGTCTCTGTAGTCCCTGGGCCATGGATACCGTCGCTAGAAGAAGGCGAGGATCTCTGGGTGTCGGGGAGCTGGAGGCGGAGTCGATCGATCGAGAAGTTGAGTTTCAAACAGCCTTGGGTCAAGGAGGTAGCAATGACGAGGCGCTGGGCGGATTCCTGCGTGGTGATGCGTCACCAGGGACGATGGAGTCTGGCGGTGCGGTGGGGCCGAGTACTTCGACCTCCGGTCAGCTACCAGTGGCTAATCCTTTTCACTCTGACCGAGTAAAGTCGGAGGTGCAGTTGTTGAGGAATCGTCCAGCGACGCTGGATGAGGATGCTGCGAGACTGCAAACCGAAGTTGATGATATGGCGCTGGGAGATGCTGCTGTGGTTGGTGGCAACCGGGAGCCGGACTATGGTTTGTTCCTGGGACCTGCTGGGGAAGGAATGGCGGCACAGCAACCTGTCGCGGGGACTAGTAGTAATGTACCCCGGGTGGCTCGGGTAGAATCTGCTGGTTCCGCTCCTTCTCTGTGCCAGTCTATGGGAACAGAATGGAAGCCTGAGGTGATCCGAGAAGGAGTGGCCACTCGGAATCAGGAGTCAGAACTCAGAAGAGTTGTCCAAAGTGGCTCAGGTGAGGACCCCGAAGCTGGGATAGAGGAAGAGCAGAGGGAATTGATTCCGGTAGAGGAGGATCGACTCTCTCGTGTGGAGTCTCTGCTGGCCCAGGTGTTGCAGGAGAATGAGTCCTTGAGGAGACAGGTTCAGGCTGAGTCTAACTCTAGTTTCCAAAGTGCCAGAACTCCGGCCGACCAGCCGGCTTCGCCGATGTCGTTTGGGTATGGGCGGTTCATGCCTGAGGTGACGCCTAGCTCTTTTCCGGATGTACAGCCACAAGACCGTAGAATGCCCAATGATTTCCCAGGGGGTTGTCAAGCAGGGTGGTTCGTTGGTTCGAATGTCATTCCGGGAGCTCCACATGCGGTGGTAAGAGCAAGGCCTCCTCAAGTACCGTTTATGGGGCCTCCAGGGATTGGGTTTAAGGGACAGGAGTTTGGAGCTTCGGGATTGCTACAGGGAGGTTTTTCAGGGTGTGGGTTCGGGGATCATTTAGAACCGAGACCTGCGCCCCCTCCTGTTCCCGTACCGGTACCGCCCAATCCTGAGACCCAGGTAAGCGTACCCCAAACCATGAAGCAGTTTACTTCAGCGGCGATGATAGCAGGTTGGGGTCAGGGGGAAGTAGGACAGGCAGGGTTTCATACACCTAGGTCCGGTTGTGGGAACACTTCGAGGTTTGATGCTGAAGGTTACCCGGTCTCCCCAGGAGGGACTAGCATTAAGCCACCCTCCCTACCTCCACCGGCTTCTCCACGTGACCCGCTGGCGGCTTTCGCGATGACTCCGAGTGGGCTTCGAGGTGCGCCCTGGGGATCGTCTGTTCCTAATGCCGGTTTTGAGTCGGGAAGAGGGTTAGAAAAGCCAGAGGAACCGGCTCGCTACATTGATTCCCTACCTAAACTAGCCCAGGTAGACCTCTCAACCTCGGCAGTTACCTGCGGTAATTGGCTAGCTCAGGTGAAACAGATATTTGTGGGATTGTCACCGGGTGCGGTTGATTGGTATGCCAGGGTGGAAGGGGCAGCGTATGAGTCGTATCATAGATGGCTTATGGCGGACCCACTAGGTAGGTTGTCGGTAGATCCTAGCTCGGTTGTAGCAGGGTTCGATGCCTTTAGGTTCCAGAGAGTGGAGTCGAGGGCAGTTACGTTGCTGTTGGCAGCGCTTCCAGCTTCGGTTAAGGACGATTTGGTAATGAACCGTTGGTTGAGTTCGGCGGCAATTCTCTTTCGAGTGTTGTGCATTTGGCAACCTGGAGGGTCAAATGAGAGAGCGCATCTATTGTCTCAGCTAGTGCAGCCTGAGGTTTGTCGTAGCTTTAAAGAAGCCCTTCCAGTGTTGCGTAGATGGCAGCAGAACTTGCAGCGGGCGCGGGAAATCCAAGCGTCTCTACCTGACGCTTCACTCTTGATTAAAGGAGTTGACCAAGCAACGTCGACCGTTTTAACTGCAAATCCCATGATCGGCTTTAGAGTGAATGCCTTCAGACATCGTTCAGGTTTGGATTACAACCCTAGCACGGCGGGGGTGGTTCAGCTGGTACGTCTAATTCAGGCAGAGTTTGAGGCAGCCTCTCTAATAGCTGAGGGTTCATCTGAGAAGCGGCCAAGAAATGCAGCGGCGTCGGCTGCTCTTCCCAGGGGTGAAAATCCGACCCCTCCTGCAACCAAGGCGGGAGCTGAGGTTCCTCCTTCGGTAGCACGAGTGCAATCTGCAGACAGGGAGGCTAAAGGGGGAAAGGCTAAGGGTAAGGGAAAAGGAGACTCCAGTTCCGCTCCCTTGTGTCATAAGTTTACTGATGGGACAGGTTGCCGGTTTGGGGATTCGTGTTTGTTTAAGCATGATCGCTCAAAGGCTAGAAGAGATGGACGCTGTTTAGCGTGCGGACAATCGGGTCACTACAGGCCAGAATGTGGTTTGGTGGCGCCCGAAAATCGGGTAGTCCCCGACAGTGGGTCGGAGGCCTCCCCTTCGTCAGGGAATAGTGCTCCTGCAAAGGGCTCGGGCAAGGCTAAGGCTAAAGCTAAGTCTGGGGCACAGGCGAAAGGCATTACCGAGGATGCGAGGGCTGAGGTCTCTGCAACCCAAGGGTCGACACCGTCCGGGGGAGCGGGGACTCCCGCGGGCCCGGAGGCGCTAGTGGCCGAGGCAGCCAAGTTGCTTAAGAACGTTTCCCTTAGGCCTCTTCGGGTAGAGGATGTAGACTTGTCGTGGGTAAGGAGTGCCTTGACAAGCGCGTCGGACCCAAGCTTCTGCTTGATTGACAGTGGAGCTACGAATGCATTGCGTCCCGCTGGTCGTGAAGAGCTGTCAGAGTGTAAAACCATCAAAGTAGACTTGGCTTCGGGGGAAACTGAGCTTCGTATTAATGGCCATGGTACTCTTCTGCATGGGGGTGATTGTCAGGTCATCCTTCCTGCACAGTATCTCGTGGACCTGGGGTACAATATCGTGTGGCGTCGAAAGGGTTGCAAGGTTAAGCACCCCAAGCGGGGAGGGCTTCAGGTGACTCTAGTAAAGGGGTGCCCTTTGATTCCCAGGGAAGTGGGTTTACAGCTGTTGCAGGAGTATGAGAATAAGAGGCCTGGGCTACCGGTTTTGAGTAAGACCGAGGTGCAGGACCTGGTATCCAGTATGTCGCCTGAGGAGCTTAGGTTATGGATGAAGGAACGTGTGAAGGGTGGGAACTTTTCGGAGGTGGACCAGTTGGTTTTCCTTCGGACGGTGTTCCCTCGGGTTCCTTTGAGGGTACTGATCGGAGCGTGTGCGCCTCGTCTGAACGAGAAAGCTGCGGATTGGTCCGAACTGCCCTGGAATCGAAGATTCCGGAGATCGGTGTCCAGAGCGCCTTTTGGGTCTGTTCTGTTGGCGGTGTCACCGTTCATGTCGTCTTGGAAAGGGTTGGGACCAGTTGTCCAGGTGGCAGATTCAGAAAAGGGTCTAGGATCTCAGTTAGTGTTTCAGCTGGTTATGAGTTGGGCTGAAAAGGGGGTTCTAGGTGGCTTTGTTAAGGGTGAGCATGGTCATGAAGAGGCTAAAGGGTCTCAGCTGGATCCTACTTGGGATTACCTAGTGAGGACCGTAAGTGAACAACCAGGCGACTGTTCAGAAGAGGGCTATGTTGGACTGGTGCGATTCCTGAGGTTCCTTCTAGCATTTGCTGTGGCTCAGGCTAGCAGGGACATCAGGGATTCTGAAGCTTCTTGTGATTCCGTAAAGGGAGCAGAAAGCCCAAGCCCCACTGAAGTGGAGCGGATTGGGGGGAGCAGCCCCTCCACGCGGATAAAGGTTAGTGAGGGTCGAGAGCTAGGAGAGGGGAGTAGGTTTTCAGACTTGGGGTCTAGGGTGTTCCTGGTTTGTGGTTCTGGGTTGGGACCATTAGGTCAAAGTTCCGGAGATACCCGGGACGTGTTAGGACTTTTGAAGACGACGTATGGTCTCTGTCAGGCGAGTTTTGATCAGGGTTGCTTAGGGGCCCCGGGTGTCTATGCTTCAAGGATTGTGACCTCCTCCTGGTTTCTTTACGAGAATCTGCATCAAGTGAAGGCTACTGCCGAAGAGAGAGCCTCTTTGGTGATGCTGCAGGAGCATTGTCCCGAGGGATGTGGGTTAAACAAGTGTGGTTGGATTGGTAATGTTGTGCGGGTGTTCCAAGATTTTTGGGTGAGATGGAAACTTGAGAATCGACTAAGGGAGGAGGTTCTTGAACGTCAAGTCTTGCTTAAGAAGTTGTCTGACGAGGAACGATATGCGCAACATGTTGGGAACGACCATGTGCCTTACATGAAGGGATGCCCTGTATGCATAGCGGCACAGGGCCGACAGCGTTCCCATTGGAGAAGCTCTTACCCTGGGGTGCATAGTCTTAGTGTGGATATCAGTGGGCCCTTTGTGTTCGGCAAGTCATGGGACGTGGAGGCGAGTGGTAGAGACAAGGGAGGTAAGTACCGTTACTTTCTAGCGGGTGCCTATTCAGTACCTACGACTTTTGTTAAGGGTGCCGAGGAAGCAGATGTGGATTGTGACGACTACGAGCCTTCTGAGTGTGGCTATTTGCAACCACAGTCC